GTATCAGCATCAGAAGCAACAAGATGAAGAATGCTGTTGAGCTTCCCTTCCCTGGAGGAAAGCCCCTCACATGGGTCCTGAGGGTGGACCTGACAAGCCCTGTGCTGTAGCTACATCAGAGTGGGGTGAGTGGTTCCCCCTCCGTGAGCTGGGAGTGGGAAGCAGCAGGGTTTTGGTTCAAATACTACAGATACACTGTTCTGGCCTTTTGTAGAAATCTGACCTTTTTGTATGTTTTTAAATTTTCGCCAGTCCACAGAACTCCTCATGCTGCATCCCCCTGCATTTTTGATATTTGTATCAGTTAGAATTGTACTGTTTGATGGTAGTATAACAATCGCAAAACAGCAATGGCTCTTAGTAAAGTTTTGTGTCCCAATTTGTGTGTCAGGTTCATAGTCATGGGTGATCAGGAGCCCAGACTTTTTCTCTCTCCTCTAGTAAGCATGAAAGATAAATATAGGCACACAAACACATTGAAGAGTTTTAATAGTCAGCAATTCATAAATCCAGCAGGTCAGGGCTTCACTGAGGGACAGGAAGGAAGGGAGAGGACAACTTTTATAAAGCATTCAAGGAAACAAAACAAAAAAATATTTGATTGATCAAAGTGGAAAGTCCTCTATTTAAAAATTACTTGGTGTTACTGACTGATAAAGTTCATAGTTAGAATTAATTTGGTGGTTTCTGGTTACATTTTATTCTATTTTCTGCACAGTACTGGGGATTGAGCCCAGAGCCTTTGTTTATATAGAGCTACATTCCCAGCCAACTTTAATTTTTAATTTTGAGACAGGGTCTTACTAGATCTTAAGTTCCCCAGGCTGGGCTTGAACATGTAATTTCCTGTCTCAGCCTCCCAGAAGGGTGTTGGTTTTACAGGCATGTGCTACCAAGTTGGTGGTGTCTGATGGACTATGCTTACACTTTGTTTTGTTGTTTACGTTGAATTTGCTTATATAATAACCAAAGGTGCTGGAGCTGTCTCATCCTAGGACCCTCCCAATTATTATTATTATTTTTTTTAACAAGCTAGGTAAGATGTGGCTTCACCCTCTGAAACCTCGTGGTTTGGGCTCCACCTATCTAATTCATACTGCATGCAGCCTAAACAAGGAGGGATTCTTTTAGAGCATTTGCTCAGGAGCTCTGTCTTCTCCTAGTATTTCATTGACTAGAACTTTGAGCTAGTTTTCAACATTTTAAAATCGGAGGATTTTTATTGTATTTTTAAAAATTTTTATTGATTTATTTACTGTGTGTCGTCCTCTCTTGGTCTCTGGTGACACTTCATCTTCTGACAAGCTGACTAAAGTCAGGAATCACAGCCTTTCTTAGGTGTGGCATTTAAATTCAGCTTGTGCTTGAGCAACTGGCTGAGGCCTTTTCTCAAAATAAAAAATGTGCTGGGTGAGGACCCGGTGAGAAGACCCTGGGTTCAGTCCCCAGGAGCACACACAAACACAAAGTGTCAAGTTCATAGGAAAGTGCATGTAATGAGCTGAAATTGAAACATGTCTCTTTTTTGGTGCCTTCTGGTTGTTTTCTAATTTATGGTACGTGTGCCTCTGCGTGTGTGTGTGTGTGTGTGTGTGTGTGTGTGTGTGTTTTCATATGCACGAGTATTTACTTTTTGTTTTGTTTTTGCTGTGTTGGGAATTGAACTCAGAGCCTCATGGGTGCTAGGCCAGGTGGTCTATAGAGTGCCCAGCCCTACGGTAATGTTTTTTCACTGTAGGCTGTTCAGACGAATGCAGTTTTATTTGAAAGCACTCCCTCCAATGAGCTTGTCAAGGTGGTGTATTTTTATACCTACCGCACAGGCTGTTTCAGTCTTGAAAATCCCCGGGCTCCTTCCACAGTGGGATGAGGACCGAGGGGCGCTTCAGCCTGAAGCTGAGGCTCACCCTGGAGTTTCATCATATTTCCAGTACTTTAATGCTGCCCTCTACTGTTCTTCTCTCCTAATGGCAGAATGAGTCTGGTGCTCCTCTCATGGTGATCTCTTGTTCAAATGCGTAAATATTTGATTCAGGGTCAGAGTGATCTGGTATGAAGGCGGGCTGGTGGCCCCTTACTGTCAGCGGATGTGCTGTCTGTACCGCTCATGTCCTCTGCGTGGGCCCCTTCCAAGCCCTGCTTCCAGCATGCAGGCCAGAGTCAGGCTCCAGCATCCTGTCTGGTCCCAGTGTCCTGGACTTCTCTTCTTGCTTTGGGAGGGCCACTCTGGCCCGCTGGAGGGCTTTTCTGAGAAGCCCTGCCTGCTGTGAGCCTCTAGCTGGGCTGGGCAGGTAATCTTTCTGAGTGCTGAAATGTTTTAACCAGGTGTCCCTCCCCCAAACAGGGCCCTTTGTCCTGGAGGTTTGCGGAAACTTGAGCTGCCCATCTGCCTTTGGGCCCAGGCTTCTCAGGTTGCAAAAGATGGTTTAGGACACCAAAAGGATTTTTATTTTTGTGTAGAAAAGACTCACAAAGACCTGGGAAGTACATAATAGGTAAATAAGATGAATTTTGTTTTAGAAAATGCTGGCAAAGTTTTCCCATATGAGAAGCAAAAAAATTTAGTGCAACAGAGACACCTGAAGACCTGTTGTAACAGGAATGTGTAAGAGAACAATGGAGTTTCCATTTTATTGTCATAAAGCAAACAATTTGATTTGTATATATGGTTCAATTCATGTTTAAATATGTAAATACAGTTAAACATTCTTTAAATATGCTTAGCATCCAACATTTGCCACTGTGGTGTTAGATCTGTAGGCAGCTAAGAAACAAGATTCTTATGTTCCAGAATCTTACACTGTTTCTTGGAGTTGAACACCCCTAAGCAGCAGTAATAAAAATGATCTGAATGAAGTCAGAGTCAGAGTGGACAGAGAACACTTGTCCTCCAGTAGTGATAGACCAGAGTGCCTGCAGCACAGATAGTGTTAATACACTGCTGTTGGAATTCAGATGAGGGAGAGAGCCCTGACCTTCTGGTAGTTGGAGATAAGTCCACAGAGAGGCGAGGCTTAAAGGATAAAGAGGATTAGGTGGCTGTTGGGTGGGGGAACAGTGGGGTTAGATACAAGGGGAAGGTGCCAGAAAGGAGTTTGGACTGCATCCTTTAGCCTGGGAAAGCAGGCCATGCAGTTGCTGTTTTGCAGATCCTTTCGATTCCTGGGAACAGGAACACCTACTATTCTCACCTCCTGATCTGCCTTCTTCCCCCCATTCCTCCTCATCTTGGTTCATAGCCACTGTGGGCACCGAGCAGGTTATCATCCTGAGATCCTGTTTGTGTTGCCTGTCAAGATCACTGGGCCTGGAGATCCTCCCCATTTGTTTAATCTCTCCGTTTATTTTCCCTGCCTCTTGTAAGCTCTGTAAACACCACCATCCTCTGAGTCTTTATTTTTTGTTCCTGCCAGAACTGTGTTTCCAAATCACATATACTATAATCCTGCAATCCTCAGTTTAAAAACTGCTGATGGAGGTGGGGGTAAGTCTCAGAGTGCTTCCCGAGCACGCACAGGCTCTGAGTTCAATCACTGGTGCCCCGTGAAAAAAGAAACTCCTGGTGATTCTCCACCATCCTGTCCTTCCTAAGCTGGACCTAACTCATTTTTTCTGGCTGTGTTCTGGATCTAGAAGACATTTGGACAGTAAAGTATTTACATTTTCAGTAGTTTGTGGAATGACTATGATAGCCTATTCAAAAGCATTTAGACATGTGATCTCAACATACTTTCTTTATTGGCCACTGTTCCCGAAAAATCTGGTCCCAGTGTATGAGAATCAACCTCCAGACCAAAGGGAAACAGACAGTGCACTTTATTGGAAGCTTGTAGAAGGGTGGTCCTGAGTGGAAGAAAAACCAGTGGATCCTGGTGATTTGGGTCAGAAGGAGTGGGCTTAAAAACTAGAATAAAAGTGCCTTCATCCAGGTCACAATGTACCTTTGTCAGGCACATTACTGGTGCTAAGGTTTGGGTCGTAAAGCTCTATATACCACTCTAATAGCTTTGTTTGTTTATAGTTTGCTGGGAAACTGCAGGTAAAACTGACTAGTTTCTTGGAGGCAATCACAGCAGTTATAGCTGAAGCACAAGATAAAAATCAAATCCAGGCGTGTATTGGAGCAGTTGGCTGCCCTGCACTTGTTTGAGAAATGACGGTGAACAAACCGTCAGACTCTCATGGGATGAACTCACAGGGCAAAAAGAACAATGAAATTTCACAGGCATTTGGTAAATGATTGAGTGGGGGGCCACCTGCCCTCAAAGAGAATTTATTTATTTATTTGGATTGGATTTATTTTATTGCATGTTTGCAGTCCATGATGGTGGTATTCATCTTAGGGAGTAGGTACATGTACTTCATATGTTGGAATGTAATCACATGTTGCAGACATGAACTAACAGAATAATGATGAAAATGGGGCAAAGAGATCTGGAAAAGAACAGATTTCATTTTGTTTTGTTTTTCGTTGCCTGGTGCATGCTATGCATGCATTCTACCACTGAGTTTCACTTCAGCCCAAGAACAGATCTGAGTCTGGAGATGTTGGGGACAGTGATAGGAAGAGGAGGATCTCAGTGGGTAATCTAAAAGGAGGAAAAATCCTTCGTGACCTTGAGCATTGAACAGAAGGGTTTTGTGTGCTAAATGCCCACATTTGGTGCCTGTCCAGAAAGCCGCAGGCGTCACACATTCAGCTCTGGGGAGTAATGCAGGGGTGTTGTGATTATGTTACCCCCGGCTCAGTTGGGTCTGCAGCGTGGACATTCCACACACACTTGCTGCAGTGGGGGTTGCCAGGATTAGTTACTGGCCGAGCCGTTCCTCTGTTACTGAAGGATGAGGGTCCCTCTTTCAGAGGGTGGGGTGGGAAACAAGGTAGCACTGCCCGACAGTACAGGTGACTGCCCGGATTACCACTCTCTCTTGTGTCTCCTGCTAATCCTCATGTGGAGCAGCAGGTAGCCCGAGAAGCCTGAATTGTGGATTAGTTCCAGTGCCAAATATAAAAGACCAGTGAGCCTTGCTAGCCAGGAAGTATATGCAGTCGGTTCTTACTTGTTCGGTCCAAGGGAAAACAAAGCGGCAGGAAATATGGGATTTTTAGATACCTTTTGGGAAATGCAGCCCTTGTTGCCCAGGAAATCCTTCTCTTCCAAAACATTCCGCACCCTGCTAGTGCTGGAGCTATGGAACAGGCTGCTGAAGTTATTCCAAGAAAACACTTGCAGTTTGGAAAAGAAAGGAAGTGACTCTTTTTTGCCTGTATGCCAGGTTTCCTGATGCACAGGTAGCCAGAAGGAAGCCTCCCATATCTTTGGGTGATGATTAGGTGCTGTGTTTACAGACACACCCGGCCAGGTGTGCAGGCAGTGCTGGGTGCAGGCGAGTAGTGGCCGTGCGCAGAGATATCCGCAGTGTCGCACAACAGCACAGTGAGTAAGAGGCTGACGGTTGGTGGGATGGGTATAGATAGGCAAAGGCTAACAGGCACGCAGTAGTCTCCAGCCTCCCAGGTTCCTGAAGCTGGCTGCCAGACTGAAGACAGAGTCTCCTCTTGGCTCAGTTGCAGCTAATTAGGGGATACTTTGAAAGCATTTCCTTCTAGTATGACCAGCAAGTCCAGTGAAGTTGAACTGCTTTAGTGGGAAGCGAAGGTGACCATGGCAGTGGCATTGGAGAAAGCCAAGGATGAAGTGCCCCAGGACCCTGAGCAGTCCTTCCTGGCAACTCTGAGTGACCCACAGGTGACCCTGCTGTCCGTCCACAAGCAGTGGTCCTTCAGGAGGAGCCCTGGAGCCAGGGCCCTGTCCAGCCCAGTGTCTTCAGAGGAACGCTCCTGCTTGCCTCCCTCAGGGGGAGAATTTCCACTAACAGCTTTGAATGGAGCCTTGGAAACAAGTTCCCATCAGGTCAGTGCAACTATGGACTGGATGGGACCCAGCGCCCACCCTGAGGTTTCTGTGCCTGTCCTGTGTGAGGGGTTGGGCAGAGGTCTGGGGAGGGAGGGAGAGCGGGAGAGAAGCCCAGGCAGGACTCAGGGGCATTCACTCTATGGTGGGTGAATTTTGAGTCTTGTTGCTCATATTTTCAGGTGGTTTTGTAAGTGTATGTACAGCACAAGTTTTCCAAAATGAAAGTCAGATAAAAGTGGGTTGTAACTCCCTTTTTAAAAACTTTATCTTAACTTTTGCAGTGCTAGAACCAAACCCTGGAGCGTGCTAGGCAAGCACTCTATCAAGGACCTATACTCCCAGCCCCTTCTCTTTTATTTTTAAAAGTGTGTACATTTAGGGAGTGGCTGAAACTGGAAACTGATCACACTCGAGGGGCAAACAAGCTGTACCAGCCCAGAGAACACCAAGCCTCAAGGCAATCCAAGCAATGGATTGCCAGGTAAAGAGGTGTCACGAGAATTTATCTTGCTGAATGTATAAATAAAAGTCCTGACAGTGGTCAAGCAGTGCCTTTCCTCTCATCAGGAAGAGAGTTCTGTCTGACCTTAGCTTTTGTTTCTTTTCTTTATTTTTCTATCCTCTAGCCGTCCCTCTCCACCAACATCTAGAGCTATAGTTGGATGCTGCATGTACCTTATTTTGTTAATCTTTATAATTCACTTAAATAAATATTTTGAAAAGTTTGCTGCAAAGTGAGATAACTTTTCTTAAGCAAATACATTAAGTTTTGCTAACCCACAGATCACTTGTGTTCAGAAGCAGGGCAGTGAAACATTTTGTAAAAATGGTTCCTTTTAATAACAATAATTTTTGCTATTAAAAATAGGATTGATTGTGTGGGGTCTTTGAGTAGTCGATTAAAAAAAATTTTGAAAGCATTCTATCAGTTGGATGCAAAAATAAGTTTTTGTAAGTACTTTATCTCCTTTAAGACTTTTTCTAGGCTTTAAAGTTCCCCAAACCAGAGGAAATTCTGTGGAAAAAAAACTGTGAAATATGTTATACAAGAGATTTCCATGTTGAAGGTGCTTGGTACGTAGATGTGAACCCAGAAACTTTGTATTTAAAGGTTCTTTATTTTGCTGTTAGATCTTTACCCAGGATACCATTACGCCCTAATGTGTTTAACACAGTGAAATGATTTTGTGGCTCAGTGGTAGAGAGCCTTAGCATGAAGGAGGTCTTGGGTTCCATCAGTACCTTCCCCCTGTTCTGCTATGGTGATTTTGTGGAAAATTCCAAGAGTCTCCTTCAAAGTTTCCTCCCAGGCAAATACAACAGCAGCAGGAAGTGTGCCATCACCCAGTCGCTGCCAGGTTGGGTAACTTTTATGCAGTCTGGATAAGTGGATTTGCGGGGATGTGAGGTTGATAGAGACAATACCACAAACTCTGCTTAGTGAATTTTATGCTTTGCTTTCCAAGCAGTTGTGTGATTTTCATTTTCATTCAAGTTGTATTTAATCATATAGCTAGACTAACATTTTAAATTGTTTAGAATCTTACTTGACAAAACATTTTATTTAGCTTTGCATATGTTGTTCACTTACATGATCTAGGGCCAATATTTATATTTTTAGCCAAAGTATTTAAGGTAGTAAAAAAGCAAGCATTTTCTGGGAAAAAAATGCCTGAGAATGTTTCTTCAAAATGTCCATGCGGATGAGAGAGCCGGCCCGCAGGACTGGGACCGCTCTCTCTGTGTGCTGCAGACCCGAAATGGAACTTCTGCCAAAGCCAAGCACTCAGTGGAATTCCCAGCTCCCAGGGCATTGGGTGTTGTCTGAAGGCCTGAGTAGGACTGGGTTAGTCTGGTAATCTGCAATGAACACAGTTGCAACTTTGTTTTTTCTTTTTTGTGCTGGGGCCCTGATTATAAAAGTAATACTTAGTCATTATAAAAAATGGATTTGTAATAGCACATGGAATATGCATAAAAGTAAAAAAGAACAAATGAGAGCAATCAGTTCCTTCTTATGTGAGTAGGTATATGTGTTTGTGTGTGTGTGTGTGTGTGTGTGTGTGTGTGTGTGTGTATTATATATATGTTTCTTTTTACAGATATGGGATCAGATTACACAGGCTACGATGTACACTTTGCCTCTTGTTTTTCTTCTTTTTCTTTCAAGTGTTAGGAATTGAATTGTTTTTGGACAGGAAGGGAAGTTCTCTGTACTCTTGGGACAAGTCTGTGATAGCTGCCAACCACTCTCTGCACCCCACTCCCCAGTGAAAATGAAAGCGGAATAAAGGAAGGGCAAGAGAACCAAACCAGCAAGTAACTAATCCCTGCTCTTCACCTTTTCTCAACTAGCTAGCTTAGGAAAGCCCCCAGCCTCAGCCAGCTCAGAGCTGTGTGCCTGTTTCTAAGACAGGGTCTTGCTAAGTCACTAAGTCACCCAGGCTGGATTCAGCCTTGTGATCCTTTTACCTCAACATTCCTGAGTACTGGGACACAAGACTTGCTTATAATTTGCATTTTTAAAATAATGCTTTGTGGACAGTATTCTATGTGTGTTATAGACACATTTACGTTATCATTTTAAATTGTCAAATTTTAAAATTTAGAATTACTTTTAGAATTTAAATGACCCTCAGATAGGGGAAATTTGTAATAGCTGGTTGATTATAAAAGCCAAAGTAAAAGTCAATTACAGTCAAGTGCTTGTTTACTGTTAATAAGGGTATTGACCCAAAGACTTAAAAATCAAAGCTAGGACTCGGAGAACTCATTTAGCACTTGATATGTGATAGGAACCTTGTTTGTGGCCCTTGTCACTTAATTTAATCATTTTAATAGCATAGGGGGTGTCCCTAATCCCCCTGTAGCAGATGAGAAAGCTGATAAAGAACCTGAAAGGTTTGACCCCAGGCCTGACTGATAACAATTCCTCTTCCACTGGGACACCGAAGTATGGTTTTATATCCTGGGGGAGACAGAGGTTTAGGAATACCTGAGTATTTGAGAGCTACTAAGTTATGGTGAGTGAAAAGTAAGCTTTCAGGAGATTTTTTGTTTGCAGGAATAGCTTCTATGAATAACACATTTAAAATTGCTATTTATGATTAATGGAGTTGTGTGTTTAAATTTTACATTTCTTATCCAACACTGTATAGAGTATATTCTGTATAGTTAGGGGGTAAAATCATGACTTTAAACAAGCTTAAGAGTCTTTAGTTTTTCTGTGTTTTGATAGGCAAAGGGGGAAAAATGCCTTTTCAAAAAGATTGGAACAGGGCAAGGCAAATTATCTGCAGAATATTAGAAGGTCTCTGCTGCTCTGAGCAGGGCCAAGCCTGGTGACTTTCACCAGAGAGGAGTTTCCTGTCTACTGTCTGGCCTTTCTTAGCCCTCTTCCACCGTTGGGAGGAGGGTGTGGAGGATACTACAGACTTGTTTGTAGGATGCAGAGATTCCTTTTTCTGCACAAAAGCAATAAATTGTCTCAGCCTCCTGGCTCGTCACTCTGTGGACCTCTTTGGATAAGCTTGGCTCCTGGGTTTTCGGTTCTAGTTTTAATTTGTTTTGGAGTATTAGGAACTGAACTCGTGGTGCTCTGACACTGAGCTACAACCTGTCTAGGCTGCTGAGTTTATTTGTTGTCTCTGTATCTTGTGTCTGGCAGAGTTAGGATCAAGCTATGAGTGAGTAAATACACTGCAGCCAGGTTTATATTGCAGCAGGGAGCTTTGAACTGATTATGACTGTAGGTTGTTAAGTTGTAGACTTAACATTTTAATGAGTTAATTTTTTGTGGTGCTAGGGATCAATTCCACAGCCATTTTAATGAGTTAACATAATATTTTTTGTGGTGCTAGGGATCAATCCTGCAGGCTTGGGTATGCTAGGCATACCATGCATTCCACCGCTGAGCTATATCCCCAGCTATTAGCATGTTTAGAAAGCAGGATACAGAATTCTGTCTTGGTGGTTGGGTGGGGTTTCATATATAACTATATATATATATATATATATATATATATATATATATTAACCTAGATGAAATTAAGATGACCCAAGTGGCACACGTGTATGCCTTTAAAATAAAGGAGTGTGGAGGGGGACATAATACTTTCCCTTGCTGTGGTTTTGAGAAGGAAGCAATCAAGAGAATTGTCATTTGTTACAGAATTACCCACCAAGTGCACTGTTTGCCCCCTGGAGACTGGGTAAGGCATACAGCAGGCCTTGTAATTTTTTTTGAATGAAAACCTGAGTTTCTGAAATAGAAAGAATGTAAATAGTAAGAGTGGAAGCTCTTTTTGACCTTTGTGGAGTATGTGATAGGGCAGGGATCTGTGATTGGAGAAAACAGTAGGGGTCTGGGAGGCTCCATGGAGTTCTGAATACCAGGTGCAGGTGAGGCAATGTTTGTCCTCCTAGTCACTCATTACCAAACCACACGTTAATTCTGTACTGTTAACTGCTCAAGTCCTCCAAGCTCAGGCATACCTGCAGGGTGGGCATTATTATTATTCTCATCTTATACCTCAGGAAGCTAAGGCTTGGATTTGCTCATACGGCTAGAATTCATACACAGGATATCAGACATGTCCTTGGGAAATTCATAATGGACAGGAAGGACAGACACTATATAGCTATGTGTGGAAAATGTTCTTTAGAATACAAAGTAGCGGGCAAATTGGTCAATTCATCATCTTTATCATAATTAAATTGTTGCTGAGATTAGTATGGCTGTATAAAAACATTCCCTTCCTTGCCTTAGACAAGCTGAAAACCCACACTTAGTTTCTGCTTATAAAAGTTACACTTGAGTGCTCACTTTGGTAGCACATTTACTGAAAGTAACGTTGGGTGAGGCGTGGTGGCACACACCTCTAATCCCAGCGTTCAGGAGCTAAGACAGGTAGGTCACCCCGAGTTCAAGGCCGGCCTAAACTCCATAGCAAGGCCTTGTCTCAAAAAAAGAAAAAAGAAAAAAGTAACAGTTGTTA